ATAAAGTAGGTGCTCATTAAATATTTTTTCCAACAACTAGTGCAAAGTGGAAGAAACTAATAATGTTGGGAAGGGGACATGATGTCTAAAACTTGGGGACATTTGAGTTGGGCCTTACAAGGTGAAGTTTGCCAAAGGAAAAAAATGGGAAGGACAACTTAGGCATTAGGTGTTTCCAAAGATACCCACATAGTTCTGCTTTGCTATTCTGCTTTGCTAAAAGTGCCTCTTTTTTGTCAAGCCGGTCTGGCACTGATTCTGCACCCTGGGGCTGAGTATTCTCTCTCTGTGAGAAATATGCCTGTTTGTTCCAGCCCCCGCCCGCCACCATAGAGTGACCTCAGATCCCTTCGCAGCCCTGCAGTCCCTCCCTTGAGCCTTCCCACCTGCCGCTCTCCCATATAAAGAGTGGTGCTCAGAATAAACCCAGGACTCATGGGCCATCACAGGCTCCTGCCCACCACTCACCCTCACTCAGCTACAGAGCGGAGGTCTGATGGAAGACAGAATGTCAGGAGCTGCAGCCACGTCATGCTGTCCCCACCTGTCAGAAGCAGTAAACTTCCGATGGCTGTATCTTAGAGCATTCTTTAGCCCTGGAAATGAACTTGCAGAGGAATATGCAGACTTGTGCATACTCTCTTTTTATCAGCTTTTGGTACCCCCTGCTGGTGAAATTGTGCGACCCAGCTAGCAAGAATCTCAGAACAAGGAGAAAAAGAAAATTCCAAGTTTGTGAAGTCACAACTACTAGAGTCTTCAGGAATCTGAGGATTCCAGAAGTGATGTGACTATTCCATACATCATGTGACTGTTTTATGAGGGTTTTTTTTATGACTATGGCTATTCTGTGGGCTCTGAGGGGAAAAACCTCTGACTTTTGTGAATATTCCTTTACTTCTTCCTGCAATCCAAGAGGCCTATGACCACCACAGGGAGGAAATGCTAAGTTGTTAGCCAAAACTATTCACAGGTATAAATATTCCAGGTCACAGAGTAATTTAATGCAGATTTTTCTCCCTCTTTCCTTGTATGTGTCTTTTTTTAAAGTGCTTGTAATTTGCAGTAAGAGTAGGACGACAGTCTTTCTACGCCTCAAATTGTAGAGTTTTAAATATAAACTTGGACAACAAATTTATTGACACCAGCTATGTGCCAGACACTCAGAAAGAAATTGGAGTAGGTGCAAGAAGTCAAAAGCCCTTCATTCAAGAGGTTCTTGCCCCAGCGGGTGGGAGTGTTGAATCACTGCATTGGGACCAGTCAAGTGCTTCGCTAACGTGGCAATAGGCCTTCCTTGATCTCCTGAAAGGTCACAAATCAGCTATTAGCTCTCTCACAGCTTCATGTGTTTCTCCTCCTTAGCCGTTAACACCTCTGTGATTTTATATTTCCTCTGCATTATCTGTTTAGTGCCTGTCTTTGCCATTAGTCTCTGTGTTCTATGAAGGTCAAGGTTACATCTACAGACTTGTCGCTGCGACCTTCTTTCATCTAATAGATCAGCACATGCAGGTGCTCAATAAATGTGTGTTCAATGGAGAGTCAACCAAGCAGAGAAAACCGCAAATCTGTTTAGAGGAAAGCTCAAGAAGATATGAACTTGGACTTCCACTGAGCCTTGAAGGGGAGGTGGCCAGTGGAGAATGGGAACAAATTTTAAAAAATAAGAGTGTTGAGGAATGGTTGCAGAAGGGAGATGAGTGGTTGGCGTTTCCTGTAAAGAGCCAGGTGTGAGAGATAAGGCTGAACTGAAGCTTGGGGGCACAGCCTGAGGGTCTCCAGTGCCCTCCCACTGGTTTGGATGTTCCCCTTTCTGGAAACAGGGGAATCAGTTAAACTCATGGCAATATATAGAAGAATATAATTTTTCATTATTACTGAGAGGATTTTTTCAATACTAAAATTTTGAATTCTGTTAAGGATTTATCCCCAAACTGCGGTTTGTGTTTTTTTCTTCTATTCCCACCATTTCCACTTTGTCCCATAGTGACCTGTTGCTGAAACACCGGTCTGCACATCTTCAAGTCATTATAAAGCCCCATCATCACCAGGAACATTCTGCGTCAGCCATGGGCTAAGGTCCAGGGGTGTTGTAGGTCAGTTTTTACAACTTGGTTAGTTGTCGCATTTTTAAATATATCTTGGAGAGGCTCTGTTCTTTATATTTTTATCCAGGTGGTCAGAGCTACCCAAACAGTTCTGTAAAATTCTATTTTTCATAGATGCAGCGAGGCCATTTTTTATTAATATCCTCCCTTTGGGGAGCAGTGATTTGTGCTGAAGACAACTCTCTCCATATTATTTTACCCTGAATGGAATGAGATTGGTTAGGAGTTCCGCCCCCCAAGGAAATATCATAGACTCCAATATATACTCATTTATAGTTTTAAAGTTTACTCTCTTATCAGATTTCCTTGTATTTTCTACTGGGGCAACATGTGTAAAGCTCAGAGAGAAGCAAAGGAGCTGCCATATATCTTTTCAAATTTATGATTAAGAAGGTCACATATACATTTTTAAACACATTCCTTTTTGATAATAAATGAAGAATAAAACTTTGTAATATCGGCGGTAGCAGAGCTTCTCATTTTTCCCTCCGTGGCACCCCCTCCTCCCTGTCTGACTGTCTGTGGATGGTGAGGAAAGCCGCAGCTGGCCCAGTGCTTCATTTCTTGTCTTTCTCTCTGCCTGGCACTCACGGAACCGTATGCCTGGGGACAGAGCACTGTAAGTAAAGACGCATCCCCCTGCCTTAGTCCCCTGCATTCTCCAGGCCAATGGGGCAAATAAATGAATATATAAATGATGATGAATTCCATTTTAGGCTGCATTTGTATACACATAGTGGTCAAAGGAGGGAGGTAAAAATCTCTTCTTGTCTTCTTGGCGTGGATTTCCAGGGTCTGGATTCACTCTGCATGACTCTCTACTCTGCTCTCTACTTTCACAGCTAGATCTATGCCACCCCAGGCCACCGGCTCCCAGCAGGTCTAGCCAATGAGAGCCACTGTAGGAGGTCAGAGAGCAAGGGGAGGATGTAGGCAGGGCACTGCTCTCTCTGCTTCCTCCTTGGAAGTCACCCAGGACTGGCTGGCTCCTTTAAGCGAAGGCCACTTCTATGCAAGTGGCCTCTTCACAGCTCTCTCCTTTTGGGTTCTGGTTACTGCTTTTTCTGCTTTCCTTTGGGACATGCAAGTGCTCGTCAGCTCTCCGGTCACATGCCCTTTTCTCACCTTTGTGGGTAGTCCTTCTGTACATAAACTCTTCTCGAATTACTCTCATTTAAGTGTGTCATCTGTCATTCTGTGCAATCTACACCAAGATCAAGGGACCCGTGCAAAGGAGGCTACTATCACACTGTCAGACTAGAACTGATCCTGAATGAACTCCTCCAAAATACTTCTAAGTCCAGGTTCATTCTTTCATTTAATACCTCTTCTGACAGGGAGATCATTGCCTCTTGAAAGTTTCTATTTCATAATAGGGAGGGCTCGACTTTGGGGAAGTGTTCCCTGCACAGTGCTGATTTTGACCTTCCTGGGGCATCTGCTCTCTCATGTTGGCCAAGGGGGAAGCTGAAACCACATTCTGTGAAAAATGGAAGAAGAGACCTGGAAGAGTTTAGCCTCAGTGTATTTAATGGGTAACCCGCAGCCTCTCATGTCATAGGAACGTAATAACTATGTTTAGATGCATAAATGTTGGGAGAGCTCAGGGGAACCATGTTGTCTTTTGGAAATACTTGAGAACTGTCGTATGCAAGAAGGCTTAGTCATATTTCTTTATCTCTGATGACAGATCTAAAACAAATCAGTTAAAACTTGAGGGAAGCAGATTTCAGATCCATACAGTGAAGAACTTTTTAACCCTTTAGTTCCCTGATGAGGTGCCAGAGTCTCCCTCATGCAGTGTAACCTGGAGGTCTCACAGTAGGGCTGCTGAGGGTGATTCAGACTTTGGAACGTAGCTGGCCCAATGGTGGGGATGTGAAAACAGGAGTAGCACGTGCTGAACATTCGCTCTGTGCCGGGATGATGCTCTGTGTGTCTCACACGTTGTCTCTTGTAGTTCTCACGACCCTTTGAGGTTGGTCCTGTTATTTGCCACAGTGTACAGAGGGGGAGAGCAGAACTTAAGGAGATGGTGAACTTGCCCTGAGTCATGCACCTGGCAGGCGGTAGATGCAGGATGTGAACCCAGGTCTGCCTGATGCCAAAACCAATGACTTTAACCTTCACTGGACGGTGTCTGGATGGCCTGGAGAGCTTAATAGACAGGCAAAGGCCCAGGCAGTGTCCTACCCCCCATGAGCCTGGGCCTGTGTGTGTGTGTGTGTGTGTGTGTGTGTGTGTTCAGCTCTCCAGATGATTCTAGTTTACATCTGAGTTTGAAAACACTGCTCCAAACTAGTATTATTATAGATGCCCATCCAGTTCTTAGAGTCTGTTATTCCTGTGGGGAAAGCTAGGCATCAGGTTCCATTTCCACTTTTCTCCTTTTGGGCTGCAAGACTAACTAAACTCCACCCCCACCGACTGCCAACCTCTAACCCTATTTCAGTCTACCATAGTTTCCTGGGCTATTTCCTGAGTTCAGTCCCTGAGAAAGGCTAGACTCTATTTAAATCTCATTCAGAGCCATGGGAACAAGAAGATCCATCTGGCCTCCCCCTCCCTTCAACAGGAGAGCAAGGGGTGCATCGTGCAGTTCTCACTGAATTCCTGTTCTAAGCTCAGCTTAAAGAACACACCTATAGATCTGGATGAAGCAGGATGTATATTATATGTCCGAGTAAACTGAAGCCATTAATGGTTTTAGGAGGATTTAGGTTTATTCCTCCTTGACCTTGGAGGGCCCACCTTGACTCTTTCTGGAGACCAAACCTGATTTGGGGTTGAGGGTGATGGGTGGGGAAGGACAGCAATCTGATCTTCTCAGTGCTTGTGTGCAACTGGCAGCATCTGACTGTGATTTTTCCCCTTGCACATGTCCCAAAGGAAGCTGGCCAAGAAGCAGAAGGAGACCCAGAGTGGAGCCCAGAGGGAGATGGGGCCTGTGGCCTCGACCGACAAACCCTCCACCAAGCTCAGCACCGGCCGCAATGATGAAGGGTTCTCCTCTAGCTCTCAGGACGTTAATGGATTCAGTAAGTTGAGCCAACTCAGGGGATGGGAACATCTGTGGTCTGGCTTAACCCTGGTGCCTCTGCTGTGGACCCCACACCATGGTCAGGGGCTGGAGGGCATGGGGTCGGGATGCTTCCCTGGGATGGTCCAGGATGACAATTCTCTCTGGCAAAAAGTTGGGGCCACCCATCCTGTGGTGAAAAGGAGAATTGAAGAATCTGCCTTAAAACAGGGGCAACCATTTTAATGGCTCGTCAACATAAATACAGACAGCTTGAAACTCATAATAGGAGGAAAGGAGGAGGAGGACACAGTTATGCACTTAAAGAGAAAAATGTGCCATATTGAATTGAGTATCTTCGGGTTTCCAAAGCAGTGTTCCACATAAACCATGTAGAGTTGATGAGTCCTGGGTTATTACTGTCTCCACATTGGATGTTTAAGAATCTGAGGCTCAGAGAAGTAACTTCTCTAAAGCTGCAGGGCTGATGAGTAACATATTCAGATCAACCTGGAAGCAATGCCCCTCCAAATCTTGGCCAATTCCAAGCTACAGCCAATGTAGCAAGCGGCATTTAGTTGGGAGAACCTGATTCCTCACACAGAGTTAGTACAGGACCCCAAGCCAATAGAAGTGATGAAGATTTCCGGGTTGACCCTCCTCCAAAGGACAACCTCCAGACTGGTGACCTAAAGTTATCGTAGTGACCAGACTCAAGAGAGCTGACTTTTGTTCTTATCTTTCCGATGGCCCGTTCTTTTCCTGGGTTTGCTAGGAATGCTAGGCTCCCTAGCCTCTCCCCCACATTGGGGAGGGCCAGAAATCGAAAGGAATGTGAGCCCAGACAGGTGACCTACACACGCAGGGCCCATGGCAAGTGGGAGAAATCATGTTTTATAAACATTGTGTTAGGTATGATCAGTTTGATAAGATGGGGGTCTATGAGAAGAGGGAGAGAGAAAAGAAGCAAATACGTACTGACCACCGTCCTCCTCACCACAGCCTGTGTTACACACTGTTCCTACCTTAGAGATGAGGTCTCCAAGGCTCAGAGTGTTTTGCCGATGCTCCCAGAATTCCACAGCTAGTCCCTGATGGAACCAGGGCCTGAGGGTAACTCAGACCCATGGTCCTGAACCTCCGGTGTAGCACAGAACCATGCCATCTGAGGCAGTTTTCAAAATATCCTTATCTGGGCCCCATAGCTTACCCACTGGGTCAAAATCTGAAGGAAGAGGGGTTGAGGGGATAAGGGGCAGGGAGGGGTGTGGGTTTTGTAATAGTCATCCAAGGGGTTCTTGTAGGCACCCTGGTTAAGAACACTAAACTTCATGGGAGGAAATGGCTTTTTCAAATATTGATGTACTTGCTGCCTTGGGACAGAGAGATTCATTGTAAACCTATAAAAAATTTGGGGGAAAACAGCAAAATGAGTATTCTTATAGCCTTTATCTTGATTCACCAGTTGCTCTTATTTACAATACTTGTGCATGCTCTCTGACTTCATGTGTATAATATATAATATATAATACATAATATATAACATAATATGTATGTATATATTCTCAACCACTCAGAAATACGTTGCAGACACCATGACATCCTTCTTCCAGAGAATTCAGCATGTGTTTCCTAAGAAAATGGGACAGCTCTTCAACATGACCATTAGGAACTTATCTTACCCAAGATATGTAATCTTATTTTAACATATGATATACCAGCCCATAGTTGAATTTCTTCAACAGCCCTAAAATTTTTATTATTATCATTAGTAGCAGCAGCAGTAGTGTTTTAATCCAGGATCCAATCAAGGGGCTCACATTATAGTTGGTCATCAAGTCTCTTCTTCCCCTTTCACCTAGAATAGCCCTCCCACCTTTATTTTCTCTTTCAGGATGCTGACATTTGTTTAATGTGTAGACCTGTTGTCCCGTAGAGGATCCCACAGTCCAGACTTATCAGACTTTTCTATCGTGATTGCATTCGGGTTAGGTCGGCACAGATACGCATGGGTGATGTCGTGTGCTTCCCTTTGCATCCCATCGGTAGACAGATGCTGTCCCTTCGCCCATGGCTGAGGAAGTCTGAGCCCTTCTTATGGTTGAGTAATGGCTTTTAAAGACAAATTTAAATGGCACATACTGATTATTTCATGAGCAAATATGTAACTTCATTTTTTCTCAGGGTACAGAGCAAGTTTGTAGTCTGCTGAACCACAAAACCGGTCCTTCCTCCATTCTCAACCAAGGTGAATGGCTGAGACTCATACACTCCCTGGTGTCCAGAACAAGAGGATATTGATGTTAGGCCAGGAGATGCAGGAACGGGTGAGCAAGGAAGCAGGCTTGGTGTGTCCTTCCTGAGCTCCACAGCCTCTGGTTGTATGAACTTGTCACTAACCCCCTGCTTTTGGCCGAGGGGCAAGTGTAGCTGATGGAACATACTGTCTCAATGCTACCCACTCAGCCCAAACCCTTCCTGTGCAGGCCAGTCTCTCATGTACACTTCTGTCCATTTGTAAGAACATCCTTGGAGAACTCCCAATGCTGAGCAGATTGTGGTCAGAGATGTGTGATGTGGGTCTATGATCTTAAGCTTTCTGATCTGCAGTAAAAACCTGGATAACACCAGTTTCTTAGGTTTCGAGGGGAAACATCACCACTGTTTCCCCATGTGCTAAAATTTAGACTCCTGAGAGGAAACACCTAGGACTGAGGTTGATTGGCCAGCCAGAGAGGAACCAGAAGTGCGCTGTATAGAATCTCTTAGATGTTTTAAAGTCCAGCGATTTCCATGACATATTTGTAAGTGCTGTGTGTATACATAACACACATAGACATATATGTATAAACATTCATTTAAATGACACTGCTTTTTAAAAAAAGACAGAAAAAACAAATTTCAATTGACATTATACTCAAATACTAAAAAGTTTTACATTTGTTTGAATCAATCAACATTTTAGGATTCCATCTCTGCATCCAGGGTCCGCAGGCTACAGCCACAAACATGCTCTGGGGACTCCTCTGAACACTGTGGAATGCATCAGGTGCCTTTTAAAATGCCCTGTGGGACCCTTAGAATGAGATTTGAGGGGGGAAAAATGTAAGCACTGCTTACACTGGAGATGTAGAAATTGCCTCTGAAATCAGCCTGATGTATATAAAATTGAATCTATTTTCGAGGCATTAGGGAAGTGACTGGCTTCTGCATCAGTGTCATTAGGAGGCCCTGAAATTATTTGCAAATGTTGAGGAAGCACTGAGACAGGCAGAGCGCAAGAATAGGTGCCACACTGGAAAAAATTATAGAAGAACATGCCGTGAGCCATTATTTTATTATTGAACAGGTGGGCCTCGGCCTAATTCAAACTCTGTTTTCCCTCATAGGTTTATTTTCTGGGGTTTTCTATTCCAAGCCACTGCTATGCCAGGTTATTCAACATTCAATCAAGCCTCCCAATTTTGTGTTAGGAACCATGGCCACCCCATAGCGAGGGTAATAGGGCTTTGTCAGGTCTGGGCCATTGCTGGGACATTCTTGAAAAAAGGGGTGCCTATCACAATTCAAGGACAAACAATGTGCATTGTTTTCAGTTTAAAGAAATACTGGCTTTAAGTAATCCGGTTTTGACTCATTGCCCCAGGTCCCTGATTCTTTTTTTCCCCACCCAGCTCTCTCCCTCAGTAGGATCGTTTTCTAGGTCTTTCGTCTGGTGCTTTCTTCTTTTGTTTGTGCTTAAATCTTCATCTTTATATCTTTTATTCATGGTGTTATCTTCTCCTTGTTTATTTTCAGTCCAAGTCAAGATGCTTCAAAACAAATTCCTGTTGAATTCCTATGTGATGGGCTTTGGCTGTCTGTCTTTCCTATAACAGCATTGGAAAGGCTCACATGGCTGTTGGGCACCTTTAGTTAAGTCTATAAATTTATTATTGCCCTCATTCTACAGATGAGACAACTGGGGTTCAGAGAGACTCTGTGCCCCGAATCACACAGGCATCTACACAGTCGTGATAAAGATCCATTTCTCCTGCATCAGTTAGGTTCTGCCACCTGGTTCCACAAAGAATTTGGGAAAATATCCACTCAGAGTACCTACAATAAAATAGCTACAGGAGAAATAAATAATCAGGAAAACATAAAAGAAGACAGGAAAGTCAAGGCCAGTTTATATTAAAATGCCATTGCATTATGTTAAAAATTAATCTGAATATGCAGGCTGATAGCCTTTAAGTTCTAATCTGGCTCTGGGCTTCCTAGTAGCAAGAGCCCAAAGAGGAAGATAACATTTATTGGCACCTACTATGTGCTAGATCTGATGCTTTATATAAATCCCCACTCTTAAGCCCTGTAGAAACCCCATAAATTAAATATTATTCCAATTTTGTAAGTGAGGAAACTTCAAGTCAGAGAACGGAAGTAACTAAGCCCAAAGTTGCCCAGTAAAGAGTGAGGATGGGATTGGATTGGATTGTTTTCTGACTCCAGACCTGCGTTCATTCCCCTGCACCATCAGTGGCAGCCCAGAGGCAGGGAGAAGGGTTAGCTCCACTCCACTCCTGATGGTCAGCCAGCTGTTCTACTACATGGGCAGAAGCTGCTGCCACAGCTGTGTCCTCCATGGAGGCCTGGGGCTGGGCACTGTCCTGGAGCCAATCAGCTTCCCACAAGGTGCCAGGCTCTGTGATAAGCATGTTCATATATGGCATCTTAGTGCATTTCACAGTAACCCCTTACTGTTGATGTGGTTATTATTAAACCCATTTTGCAGTCGAGGAGATTGGTGCTCTGAGACATTAAAAGATCTTCCTTAAGTCACATGATGAATAGATAGTGAGGTCTGGACCCCAAAGCAGGTGCTTTACTTTCAAAACCAAGTGCCTTTGTCTTTCCTCTAGCCTTTGGCTTTCTCTCCACTATAAAGCTGGCGGGGGAGAGAAAGGAGATCAAGGTGAACAACCTTGCTGGCTGGGAGCACACTGCTTCATTTTGGTTCCTCTGTCCATTTCAGGGCCT